TGTCAGAAAAGAAAATAGATCTAGTATCAGGAGACAACTCTGTCTCATTTGTAGTGATACTCTTGAGGGTTTGTGTGTGTTAATGTTTTCTTTAAAAAGTGACGATGACTTTAAGGGAATTTTGCTTAAAATATTTTAAAATAAAAGGTGTGAAAACCAACAAGTTGGGAATTCCGTATTTCATAATTTGTAAGATTAATGTTGCCATCTGTGTTTTGCTCACTGTTTTTAGTCAGACTGCCTGCAGACAGCAGGGTCACTGTGACCACTATCTTACTGCTGAAAACAGGGATACTTGGTAGCAGAGGACCTGGGTTGTCTCAAGGAACCATGGCCTGGTTCTCTTGCGCCTTGTTTTCCTTTTCTCTGGCTTTTAGGAAAGTTAGCTTATGCATTAGAGTCAGAAAAACTTCATGTTATAGTGTTTGTCTTCCCAGTGTTGTCTAAAAATAAATCATCTTAAAATAGTCTAAGAGGCTAAACATCTGTTGTTACTGGTTAATTTTTAGTGGAGAAAGGTATGTTTTTCTAATCTGTACATTCTGAGGAAAACAGAAATTAGGTGATTTTAAGGTTGCCAGCTTGAACATTGAAAATGCAAAGGTGTTTCCAGTTAAGCAAATTTTTGTGGCTCTGAACATCTCTGAATTGTGATGATCCAGGAGGAAGCCTGACTCCACTGCGTTGTGACAGCAAGGTGCCCTGGGACTCCTGCCTCAGATTAAATATGAAGCGCCGTGACTATCAGTCTGTCAGTGCTGAGGGGAGTGCTTGGGATGGGCTTGGGATGGGCTAGCAGCAGCTGCTGCCCAGGTCTGGCCTCTTGCAGGAATGTCGCTATTATCTCGGTTGACTGAGGCCCTCCAGCCGAAGTTGACATGGTTTGTGATTGAGGTGCCATGACTTAAGGAGCAGGCTGTACAGGTTCTGTCTGTGTTCAACGGACAAGAGAACAAAGATGTGAGCCAATGTTAATGAGGCTGCTTTGAGTGATAGTTAATAAAATTATAATTGTGGATTACTGATATTCTTAAAATAGGACAGTCTAAAATGGAGGAACTAAAAATCTGAACGTTAGCTCGTTAGCTTTCTTATTTAAAAGCTGAAGGGAAGTAAAATGTGGCTTTCAAATCATTCTGAATGAAAAAGAAAAGTTCAGAAAGAAGTTGATTGTGAGTTGTCATACTGTACATGTGTGTGGTCCTAGCACTCGGTAAGTGGAGACAGGCATTGTCACAGTGTACATGTGTGTGGTCCTAGTACTCGGTAAGTGGAGACAGGCATTGTCATAGTGTACATGTATGTGATCCTAACACTCGGTAAGTGGAGACAGGCATTGTCACAGTGTACATGTGTGTGGTCCTAGTACTTGGTAAGTGGAGACAGGCATTGTCGTAGTGTACATGTATGTGATCCTAACACTCGGTAAGTGGAGACAGGCATTGTCACAGTGTACATGTGTGTGGTTGTAGCACTTCGTAAGTGGAGACAGGAGAGGATCACGAAGGAATTGAAGGTCACCTGTGGATGCGTAGTGAGTTCAAGGCCAGCCTGAGCTACATGAGGTACTGTCTCAAAAAATAAATATTTTTACTAGAGGGCTGGGGTTGGAGCTAACCAGGGCACTCATGCGTAGTGTGGGTGAAACCCTGGGATCAATCCCCAAAACAGGAACAAAGAGAAAGGAAGAAGCAGGATGAATAGAACACTGGAAAGAATTGATAACTGTGGTTTGTAAAACTTCGGAGTCTCAGATTGGATATTGAAAACCAAATTATGTCTTATTTATTTTAAGTAGGCACACTGGACATCAGGGTGTTCGTCACTGACCGCACCAGTGTGTATGGTTCTAGCCTCAGCTCCTGCCCTGCAGGACTCGAGAGCATAGCGGGAGAGACCAAACAGCAGTTTGCAGAACTTGGTTGGCAGAAAGTTGGTACTGATGCGGTTGGGTCATTCTTACTGTCGCCCCAGCCTTCTGCCTCACGGTGTTTTAGGGACTCCAGCACAGGGGTGAAAAAGGTTCAAAGAGACTGTAGCTACTAGAGTCTATGGAGTCAGATGCTGAAGGTGGGGACGTCCCATGAAGGGTCACAGGGTCACTTGAGCATCCCCTGTGGATTCAGCTGTTGATCAGGAGCTGTGTGCACTGAATGGTGCTCCCTGATTCAGGCTTAGCACAACACCCAGGAACTGTAAACTGTCCACTGCTAAAGACTTGACAGGCTGGTGACCATGTTCTGACACAGTTAACAAAGCCTGAGCACCCAGGGGTGTGGTGTGCTCTAGAGAGGCCGAGCTTTCCCAGTCGGTATGCGACCCTAGCCAGCGAGGCTGGAGAGCAAGCCTGGATGGAGCCAGCTGGTTTGCCAGGAAATTAATTGACTGAAAACATTTTATAGTCAGATTAGAAAGAAGAAAAAAACTCCAGTATTCCACATGCCCAGAATCTAATTCAGAAGTCAATACATGTGTAATGAAGCAGAATAATGTGACCTCAAGCCAGCAAAAACCTTAATCATAGGAACAGATTCAGAAATGGCAAATGAGTTAGCAAAGATTTTTAAAAAATTATAGGATTAGTTTTCAGAGGCTCTTAGAAATGTTAGACAGGACCAAGTGAAACACAATGTCTGTCTGAAATGCCGGGATAGAGACAAGGGTGTTCTTAAAATGTAAAGGAGGTGAAAAAAAGAAAAAAAAAACCTGTTACATTTGATAAACCCGCAGATCCAAGAAGTGCAGTGAATCCAAGTACACCGTTACAGCCAAGACTGTTGTAATTGACTTGCAAATGCATGGAAGTAACAAGAAAATAGTAAAAGCCTCCAGATAATAAAACACTCATTCCATGTAGATTTAAAAAAAAAAAAAAGTGACAGCCGGGCAGTGGTGACTCTCACATTTAATCCCAGCACTTGGGAGGCAGAGGCAGGCGGATGGATCTCTGAGTTCGAGGTCAGCCTGGTCTCCAAGAACTAGTTCCAGGACAGCTAGGATGGTTACACAGAGAAACCGTGTTGGGAAAAACAAAACAAAATAGTGACACAAAATGGCAGTTCTAAACTAAAGCAGTGACTGCCCATGCCTAGACACCTCCCTGTGAGGCCTGCCCTGGTGCTCCTTTTAAGACTACAGACCTTTGTCACGTGTCCTGCCTCCTTCGCTAATTTTCTCCCTGTTGCTCATGCCATTTGTCCATGAGTAATGGGTGGCACAATCCCATATTTATGTGTTTGTCTCCTTTGTTAGTTGTGACATTTCCTGAGTTGTTCACTGATACATCCTTATCATATAAAAACAAAACTTAGACCTGAGCTTGTATGCAGACCTTTAGACTATGTCTAAATAAAAGAATAATAGTTGGAAAGTATAGCAGGGTTCTCTGGGGAGCAAGAACCAGCAGTGTGTGCATATGCGTGTTTTTATAAAGACAAAGTATTTTAACAAATAGCCTTGTTATTGTGGAGGCCTGCCAGTTCTTGAAATTGCCGAGCGAGCTAGCAGATTGGGAATTTTGGGAAGAGTGGTCCTTGAGCCCTGAGCAGTCTGCTTCTTGTTCAGTTACCACCCTTGGCTGGTTGAACAAGGGGCAGCGCATTGTGGAGGGAAGCACGCTTTGCTCCATGTCTACTCCTTTAAACACAGCTCCACTTAAGAGCTTCACAGAAGCGTCTGGATCACTGTTCAGCCAAATATCTGGGCACCGTGGCTCAGCCAAGTTGACATAAAGTTAATAACCATTACAAGATTGTAGAGGTACCGGGATTGCAGACAGTGCAGCCGGGTAATGGCATAAATTGGTACAACCATCTAATAGAGTTCAGGATATACATACCCAGCAACAGATTACTTCTGTTTTAGAACCTGGGAAGCACTTTAGGTCACAGATATGCTTAAGATTTTTTTCCCTAAATAATTGTTTATAGTATGAAGGAAATGGGAACAATGTAAGTATTTAGTAATAGGGAGAAGGATCAGTTGGGTGGCATCCCTAGACTGAATGTAGAGCATCAAGGAGGTAGAATGTATAAAACAGATTTATATAGATCAGTGCAAACTAGTTGTCAAAAGGATATTATGTGAAAAATGAGTTATGGAAGGCTAAACCCAGGTTGATGTTGCTCGCATCAGGCCCGACAACTGAGAATAATCTCTTACTTGTTGAATTTTCTTTTTAGGTTGATATCATAGGTTTTCACCATGATTCTTTCTACTCCCCATAGATATGCTTTTTCATACTTGAAATTTCCAGAAGCCAAGACTCTTTACCTCTGATCTTGTGGTAGAATTGACAGAGGAACTCCATGAAGAGCCCGTCAGGAGAGCTATGCAGATGTAGCCCTTGGACAGATGTAGCCGTGTGAGAGTCCCCTCTACCAGTCCTCACTCATTCAGGCCATAATTCTTGAGATGGGTAACCCAAGAACACATGTGTCAGGGTTCAAAATGGCAAATACGTGTTCTTAGGTAATAGACAAGAAATTCAGATAAAAATCGTCACATTCTGTTCTCCTAATGGGACTTTCTACTTAAATACCTATCTTCTTTCTTTTTTTAAAGCATCTTCATTCTCAGATCCTGAGCTTGGAGTGAAGATGTGTTCACTTTTTTTCCTTAGCATTTGTTAGAATTCTATGTGAAGTGTCCTCCATGGCCTCTTGAATAAACATTCAAGCTTGGTCCCCAGCTGCTGGGGCTGTTTGAAGAGGTTGTAGGCCCTCGAAGGGGTGTGGCCTAGCTGGAGGAAGTATGTCATTGTGGGGTGGGCCTCGAGGTTTGAAGTCCATCCTGTGTCTGTTTCCTGACCTGTCTGATGTGAACAAGCTTCTGTCATGACAGACTCTAACCCCTTAAGCCATAAACTTGGATTAGTTCTTTCTACCCCGAGGAGCTTCTTGTCAGCTGTTTGGTCATAGTGATGGGAACAGTAACACCCACTTCACAGGCCGCTAAACAACTCGATGTTACTCAACCCCCGCACTGTTGTCTCTCTGTAGCTCTCGGATGACGGCCGCTACGTCTTGTTATCCATCTGGGAGGGGTGTGATCCGGTAAACCGACTGTGGTACTGTGACCTCCAGCAGGAATCCAACGGTATCACTGGTAAGTTGTTTAAGGTCGATGTACTTCCCCTAGGATGCCCCATTAGAGGGGTGGTATGTCAGTCTCGCCGTTGACTCTCAGCCAGCCATCTTCCTTTCTACCATGTCATCTCAGGTCATGCAAATGTTTGTGCTATTGAATGTCATAAGGGCAAGTCAGGTGAAGCTGGCTATCTGAATTTCCCGTGTAGATGGGGGTTAAGTGTGTCTTCTGCACCTGCTGGTGATGAAGTCCTGTGTGGTGAGGAGACACTGGCACCTTGACCTGTCGCTGTTCATAGTCATAGAGTTCTTAGGATGCAAACTGTCCCAGGCGTGTGGCTAATACAAACGTGGGTATTTACCAGGTTAACAGATAATCACATGATTGCTCCTCCCAAGCTGTGTACACGGTGACAGCCCACTTTTGTTTTCTGGAGCTTCATATGTCACCATAGTGAGCACAGAACTAGCCTATTAAAAATTGAGGGCAGTCACCGGGCAGATGGCACCAGCCTTTAAGCCCAGCACCCGGGAGGCAGAGGCAGATGAATCTGTGTGCGTCTGAGGCCAGTGTGGACTGATGCTGATTTGAAAGGTGATCTGCTATACTAAGATCCGGCATTTAAGCTGTCGGCTCCATAATTTACGATGTTGAAGTTTGACCAGCCCTGAAAAGTTCTCACATAAGCTGACTACTAGATCCAGGTGCCTAAGAAATTAGTGTAAAATATGGATTATTTCAGAGAGTCTTCACACGGGATTCCAGAATAAACCATTCTAAATACAATTCTGAATAATTTATGTGTCTCACTGATAGTGTTCCACATGCTGATACAAAGATAATTCCTTTTGATTGGGTATTACATCATTTAAACTGCTGAGCAAGGTCCTCATGCTGTATTTCTGGCTATCACAGAGCACAGGTAAGCCGTGCAGCAGGAGGGTCAGTAATTTTTTACATCAGTAATAAATGCATACATAGTAAAGCTATTTATTTTATTTTAAAAGGTAGCGACACCTATTTTAGTCTCGACTACAGCCAGCACATCGGTGTTCACATTCTCTGTAAGGAGCAACCCAGTACCCACAGTTCTTCTCTGGGTTTCTGTAGAACTGAGCAACCCTGGAGATTGCACCCAAATGAAATTCTGTGCCTGTCCTTGCCCATACCCTGTGTTTCTCAGGTGGTAGATAGGATTTCGGCTTCTGGTTTCTTAAAAATCCCAGGAAGAGGACTCCTTCTCAAGAGACAAGTGTTTCGCATCTTCTGTTTATAACTTCATCTTGTCTTTACATTATTAGGTAGGCTTATGCTGTTAAAAAATACAGGCTAACAAATTAAAAAGCACAAATTGCTCAACTTCCGATAGATAAGGAAGCTCCGTCCACTTGTTTGTACACCGAGCTGCAATCGCTAGGTCCATGTTCATACCAGATAGCAGTGTTGTGTTTGTGAGGTTGGTGGCCCGTGCAGGTGTGTAGGAGTGCAGGAGAGAAGCAGAGACGGGGTGGGGAGAGAATGAATAGGAAGGGACTGCTGCAGGGGGTTGGCAAATGTGGTCGTGGGAACCATTCGGGCACATGTGAGCACTGTAGGCCCAGCTGTCAGCACGGTCCAACAGGCTGGTGCCACGATCCTCAAGTGGACTCTCTTCTCTACGGAAGCCTCATGGTCAGCCTTTGACTTTTCAGTTGTTGAGTAAGGCCCGTGCCTTGTCAAGAATAGTATCCTGTGCTTTCTTTTACCTCTGCAACACCCGGCAGGAACACCTACGTTAGTGCGTTGGGTTAACTAGAGACGTTAGGCTGCCCAGAGCAGTGGAGCAGATGGCTCTGTGGCACTGGCCTGAGTTCAGTGTCCATAAGGTTGCTGAGCTGGACAGTCCAGAGGTCACTGAAAGCAGGTCATTGTTCCCTCCTCCTCTCAGAAGCTGGCTGACTTCTGAGTGACTGGCAGGGTGGGTGGAGCCAAGTTGTGAGCTGCCTAAGAATGAGCTTTCTGCAGTGGCAGCCACAGGCAGGTTCCTGGTAGTACAGGGCCTGCCATCTCTTTTATTTTATTTAGTAAATTTTTCTAAAGATGTGGGGGTGGGGGGCGGGGTGTTTTGCCTGCATGTTTGTCTGTGCCAGTGGAAGATGTTGAGTTATGGGCAGTTGTGAACCACCGTGTGGTTGCTGGGAGTCCAACTGGAGTTCTTTGGTTAAAAACCAATGCTCTTTACTGCTGAGCCACCGCTCCAGCCTCAGCTTTCATGGTCGCTGCTTCACTGGCCTTAGGTTTGTGGATAGCAGAACCCCACAGTGATTGGGTTGACCGACTGAGCTGCTCAGTTTCATACATAGGCTCAAAAGTCAGTTGCAAGGGGCAGGGGTGGCGGCATCTTGTTTGTTATTTTCATACTAATCACTAGTTCACTGCGGACCAGTCACATGGCTACAGCTATTTAAAGAAGCTGTACAGTTGTTCCTTGATGTCCCTGTGACTTGGATGCCAGGACTCACTCCTGACAGACACCAGAATCCACCTCCCACATCTGTGTGTGTTTCACATCATCTCTAGATTACACATAAGAGCTAAGGCAGTATGAATGTGATATAAAGTCGCTGTTCTGGATCGTCTAGGGGTAGTGGCCTGGTCTAACGTTCAGTAGAGATGCAGTTTTTCTTTGGTGTCTGTTCAGTTTGGCTGGTTGGATCAGGGACTGTGAATCCCACAGCAGTTAAGTGCTGTACTGTGTGTGCTTGGCTACTGAAGGGATTAAATCAACGTAGCCTCTACAAAGGAGACGGCCGATGGGAATGGTGATTGTGAAGGTGCTTACATGGTTTGCTGTAATTACAGCTGAGTATCTTGATTGGAACGTTGTTTTTCCCTTTCAAAATATCCATGTCTACAAATGAAAAAAAAATACCTGTTTTACAGGGAATTAATTATAAGCCATAGTGAAAATGCAGAGAAAAGGGTGACCAGGGTTTGGGTTTCTGGCATATAGAAGGCTCCATCCTTCCCTCTTGCTTTTTCTTGACAGAAGTGGGTTTTTGGAATCACAAGGACTTTCGTTTTAGATAACAGCATAGTAGGTTAAGGGCATATTTAGAGGGTTTTTTTTTGTTTGTTTGTTTGTTTTGAACTCCTAATAATCAACTTACTCTAAATACAAGTTTTGGTATGTCCTTGTTTACTGCCCCACTGATTCATAATCAGAAGAGTTCTCCGTGTGTGCCTCTGTGGACGACTGGTGGGAAGGGTCTCAGGGTTTATGTCTGATTGGTAAGAATGAATACCTCACTCTCTCACTCTTGCTTCTTATCTTGCTCCTTATCTACTTTAGTCATGCTATTTAAAAGGAAGGAGAGCCACTGAATTTAAATGTACCTACCGTTTACCTCAAATGTGGCTGAATTAGTCAAGAAAATATGATAACTAAAAATTACATAGAATCTTAAAAAAAATCTCTGTATTACCTGAGTAAAACCTGAGTATTCCTTTTGATAAGTCTGAACCTCAAGGACAGAAAAATAAATTAAATATTAAGACACTACAAAGTTGCCTACCTTAAGAAGTGAAAAGTTCACATCAGTGAGCTGCATGACTCTAGACCTCGTTGTCTTTCACCCTCTGATTCTGTGCGTGTGTGTGTGTGTGTGTGTGTGTGTGTGTGTGTGTGTGTGTGTGTGTATGAACAGCGCTTGATGGTCTCCTGATAGCTGCACCGGCTTGTGAAAGATAACTAGTTAAGGTCCCTTTAGAGACACATGTCCGGGTACCCTGCCTGATAAGCCTTCCCCCTTCTGTACTAATAATAAAATCCATCTTTATGCTATGTTTTTTTTCTTAAACTTTTGAACCCTTTATATTAGATATGTCATGAAAATTGTACATTAATTCACATAACCCAATGACTTAGGGAACTCATCATTTTTAAATTATTGATTATAAATATAGACTTTTCTTAGGAAAATGGCTGTATGCCTCAGTAGAGGAAAATTAGATTTTAAGAGATGACTTAAAGTCATTCTGTTCAGAGGCATCATGTTCCATTTTCATCACTTGAAGAATGCTGGGGTAATCGGGGTACTAAATGCTGCATTTGTAATGTTTGAGGGAGCAGGTTCAGAGCTACCACGCAGATCCTTGCTTTAGTCTTCTCAGCCCCTCTCCCCTGAGTAGCACTTTCTCTCCCCATGGGGGCTTGCAAGCAGGATTTGATTCACAGCAGACTTTTAAAACACAGATGTATACGAAGGGAGAAGGATGGAAAAAAGATAAATAACACTAAGCATATTTTTAAAAGCTATAGAAGCTGTGTTATTTTATGCTATTCAAAGTTACTTTGTGTGTGTAGCTTAAATGAAATTAATTATACCACAAGGTGATAATACCACACCCCAAGAGCCATAGACCATCTAGTGAAAATTCTAGTAACAGCCATGAAAAACCTCCTTTGGAGTGGCTGGTCGGGGAAGTCCAAGAGTTTCCCCCAAAATATAGCTGCTTTTGCCCTTGGCGGCCTCCCAGAACTTGAAGGTAAGTACCTGTGGGTATAGGACTTGAAGGAAGGGCTAGCTCTCATGGCTAGGAAGGCGCTCTGCAGGCTACCGAAGGAGAGTGCAGTACATAGTCCTGCCCAGCTGTGACACCCTTGAGTCACAAGAGTGACTGGGCCATTCGATAGGAGGGAATTCCTGCCTTTTACTGTTAACTTAGCCAATTACACATGGCTGCTGAGGTCGTGGTCACTTTGTCAAACCAGTGTAATTTCTAGCTACATTTTAAATACTTACCCTGTATTCAGAGATTAGTGTAGCTCTCACATCTCATTACAGAAACTTATTTTTGCAGCAGACAGACCAGTACAGAAAATCACAACTGATCAAAATGCAGGGAACTGTTCACTGTTGGGTGCCTCGCTCCATTTGATATCTCTGCGTCACAGCCCCAACACCTGAGGCTTGGGGAGTATCATCACAGTGGAGAGGGTGGAAAAGCTGGACGAACCAGAGGACAGGATGCTTGCC